GTAGTTATGAATCGCTCAAACGTTGCTGTATTTTCGAAAATTCTGTTAGAATTTGGAAGGTGGTAACAAAGTATATCGCATGTTCCTCATAACAACGAGACATCACCGGGTCTGGTGGCGCGATAGAAACGTTACTGATGCTAATGTTTGAAGCCATGTGATTGATACGCATAAATATACGAAATGAACAGATTGGAAAGCTAGTATGGGCCCGCTCAACGAACAGTATTTTTGTAGCCGATAAGCTTACGACTACTTTTGCAAACAAAGTAGTATCACCTCTGGAACCGTGAGCCAATCCGTCTGTAAAATCAGACGGTAGCTGCATCTTTTCAAACCCATCGTCGTAATACTATTGGTAAACATACTGTTTTTGCTTAGATATTCTCCCAAATCCTTCAGCGCATTGCTCTGCGGAGTTAGTATGCCCCGAGCCAAGGGCTTATTGTCGGGCACACAGTGCATCCGAAAAATTTTCAAAATGAACATGAACTTACTGCAATGCAGGAACACTTCGCAAGTGCACAACTTTACTGCACGGTTTGGCGGGGTGCCCCCTCAGCAGGTTGTCATATCAAATACTTGTTCAACTTATTTATCGGACTGGGACGTGTATGGTACTTCTCTTGCTTTTGGGTCCGGAAATCAGTCACGACTTAAGAAGGTCGTTAACAAGGGGGAATTCATCCATTTGCCAATGTACACACCATTCTGTGTGCAGTAATCTTAGGCTTAATATCCTGTATGCCACATAGCTTGCTTCAAAAATGCTCTGGCAGAACTGCTGCAAACAATACACGTAGGGCGGACAGTGTGAATGCGGTGAATTCCGCAGGTACCGTTTAAACAAACGCCCGTCAACTAAATGACTGTGTAAGACATCGACTGTTAGCAACATTCGGCTTATTTTTACCAGAACATATACCAATGACGAAAGGCTGAACAAGCGAACGGGAAGCCCATGTGGAAGAGTACGGGTCACAGCTGGGTGAACGAGCTGTTTTAGGCCCAATTAGATTACCGTTCATTTGAATATAAATCTCACGTATAGATCTCACGGAAATGCCGCTGCAAACCTGCACTCAGCTAAGGGTAAATGTACATCTCACCAGCATTCTGTCCAACGCAGCACCGATAGGAAGGTTTCATTGCGGTCTGTGGATCCTACGGAAGAGACGAAAGAAGTACTTGGATCCGTCCGACACAGTGGCTAAACCGGATAAAAGCAAGTTTAGCCTCCGCGCCAGCCAACAACTAGTCGTTAAAATATACCTATGCGGCTGGTGTTGGTTAAGAAAGGGTAGTGTTGAAAATCAATATGTGCAAGCGGAACCTCCATGACTTGCACCGGGCCATCTTGCGGTAAAAGCTGTGTTGTCTATGGTAAATGGAGGTTCCACAGGGACAGAAGTTGCAAATGGCCTTCTAGTGCCAGAGTATCGATAACAGAAATCGATGAAAACGCCGGCAAACAGCGCTGCAACGTACAGCCTAACTCATCTACCAGGAGAGTCAAATGAGGCATATCGAAATAAATATAAATAATTAGGAATCTCATCCTCAGTGTTTCGGCCAAAGGAATTGTAGGCACACTCAATCATCGGGCAAACGTATCAGCCGATTGCCGCAGGCGTCTGGCATACTTCCCTAAATAATGTTGTTCTTGAGGAGCATTTACGTACAAAACGGTCGCATTTACGATTACTTGAAACGAAAAAAATATCATTTACAATTTTTTGTGCACGTAAGCACCAGCCATGGATCATATTACAGTACAGCAAAACCCACTCTCTCAGCCGAGCGTGAGGACAAGCAGAACGCAGAGCTTCCGCGAATAATGACGCTACACACTGAAACGAAACCACCTAAATCGGTTGACGGTTTAAATTCCGTAAAGACCCGGAAATTCAGGGAATGGTGGTATTTTTTCACTCCTGTTAGGCGAATAAAGGAGTTTTGTTGCCTATTTAAGGTCTTGATCTCTCTCGACTTGAAACCCTCCATTAGTGCAGAAGTTCTGCACAGATCCCGCTCATGTTCTTTACCCACGGGCGGATCCGTGCTAACTGGGATGTTAGGACACTGATCACGTGACTCGGCCCAGTCATTTCCTTGAGCTTGGCTTATGCCGAGTCTACTACCCGAGGCTTCGTGTTCTTTGACGGTTGGCCAGCGTCACCAAAAGCACAGGAGTATTGAGGGAAGAGTTTTGGGCCCGCTACCAAACTGAGTGTAGCAATGCCGTACCACTTTTGGTCTAATATAATTAGGTTTTTGAACACGGACCTAGCAATAAGTAACCCAGGTAGATGGCAGCGTGTTTTGTCATCACGGTGACCGGCATTGGTTGATTTTATTTTCCACCAATGCAACTAGCCCAATTATTTCCAGTGAGAAAGGTATTTTTGATTTGTTAATCAACATGTAGTTATTTCACAACGCTGCACTACCTACTGACTATTTGCGCATATCAGAGAAAGCGGATATTCTGCGTAGCTGCATACTGTTATCAGTACTGCACTGTGCATCAAATTATCTTCCACCATCATGCTGAATGGGAGGCAAGCCTTCCGAAAAAATATATTGAGCGGAAGTTCGCTGACCGCTCTCGAGCATGCAAAAGCTGTTCAGTTGGTAGTGTGAAGAGATTTGGGATTTTTGTGGGATTTCTTCCTGTAAGTGAAGCCAATCTATGCTGAAAAGCCGAGAAGCACTGTACAGCTGATTCATCCTTATTGGGAATCATCAGCAGTGCGCATCTCACGAAACTCCGAAGAGTCTCGAACCCGCGACCTCCCGGCTAGTAGCTTGAACACTTGACCGTTCGGCCACAAGTGGCTGATCAGCAGTGTGATTAACTCGCAATTAGACAGGATATAGCGCCGCTCATCCTTCAATCACAGGATCC